CATTTTACTTCAAAACATCGTTGTAAGAACATTTGATATCCAACAGAGGTTATGCAAAAATAAAATATATATTTCAACAAACTTACACAACAAAAGTAAACAACAGTCTCTAGGCCCTATTCCGCCAAAACATATTCTTAGGTCGTCTTGACCCCCACACTTTGTAAATTTTTCACTAGAATCCCCTTTATCTACTCTCTCTCGGTATGAGGATCGAAAATTGGTTAAACTATTTCCGCTCCTGGAGTATTCTCTTTCTCCCCATAAGGCAGAGTAGCATCACTGCTAATGAAGCCTGAGCCTCGTTGGTTGATCCCAAATCCACTTGAGAGGTTGGCTCTGCTACAACTGAAGGTTCGACTCTCCCTTTCAAAATGGTTTTCACATATGGGTCTTCTTCACTCTCTTTATCAGAATTCAAGTCCAGACGATCTCTTTTATGAGCGTAGACTTCCTTGATGAACTATAGAGTCTCGCCTCTCTCAAGCATTTTCAGCACACATCGGATGCTCGTTGTCTATGCCATTTCTAACAACTCCTCTGTCTCTACAACTTGTTCGACTTTGTCGACCTCTATTCTCTCTGACCGACAGACCTAATAACCCTCGACCATGTCAATCTCCTTGCCCTCGATGGAGCCGATCTTCTGTCCTTGTTCAAGACCAAGATATCTTCCATCATCAAAGGCCTTGTGGTCGATCTTAGTCAACTATTATACTCTGACCCTCTCGGTCTCCAGTTCATGAATAACACTAGATAAGATCTCGCATGAGGACGCATCATGTTCTCTCTCTCTCTCTCTCTCTCTCTCTCTCTCTCTCTCTCACACACACACACACACACACACACACACATCGTTGCTACTAGCCCATTCTCACAAAATTCCTTATTGTCTCTAACATTAGCCTTCAGGCGATCCACTCCCGTCACCGTTGTTGCCAACTCGCCAAGCGCCTTGTTGTATTCACCCTTGACAGTCTCTAGCTTTTTGGTAACTCACTCATCTAGGCCCGCATAACGTGTGTTCATCCCTGAATGTATCCACCTCACTGCTTAATCGATTTGTTTCATCATTGTCAAAGCTCAAAATTTTCTTTCAGGCTTCGTTAAACCCAGAATGGACTCCAACCTATCTCTAAATGTTGGATTTAAGAGTAGTACAATCTTCTCCGTTGCATTCAAAAGAGAAAAATCAACGACAATCTTTACAAAAGAATTCTATAATACATCGGCAAACAAAAGAACTTATACATCTTTTCCACCAGCCCGATTGGCACATCTAACAGACTACCGACACCAGAACCATCGGAGGATAGAAAAGCTTTCCAATTCCCAGAAATTGAAAACCATTCTTATTTCCACTTATGACGAGAATCATGGATGTTTGTCACCAGTTTGCATATTTGTCGTCAAATTAAACTATCTCAATCCCGCCTTCAGTGGAAATGCCTTCGATGATTTCCACATCAAAATGGAATCAGCACTATGAGCAACTGGCCGATACCAGGTGTTTGGGTGGATCTGACTCACATCAATCCCTCGTTCCCTCATATATTCTGAAAATAAACAAGAAAGGAGAAACCTTAACCCCAAAATCATGGGTTCTCTATGCACGGCGATGCACCCTGATGCTGGACAATAAGGCTGTTAATTTCTATATGGCACAAATATCCTCACAGATGAAAAAAAAAACCCAGTTTTTCCTTCAATTTTACTATATCGGCGTCTCGTCTGCTCCCTCATGCTCGTCCAATGGCGGCCGTCTCTAGTAACCGTTCCATGTCGGCCTCGTCGCTTCCTCTTCTATCCACGCTTGAATCTCCTAAGCACCACTCCTAATGATGATCGACTCTATTATTCGATTGGCCCTAACACCCTCCAACGCAGCGTTAACCAAGTCCATATCAAAATCCTTACTTCTCTCCAACATGGCAACAAAATCCCAAGAATGGAGAAAAAGAAAACGATCAAAATTACTTTGTTTCTAAAGGTATGCTACTCTGACTGCGTACTTCAAGCCCTAGTAGCTGAAGGTCACTAAGAAAAATTGAGAGACTTTCTAGTTTGTGCAATTTTTTACAAAATCATTCCTCCTTTTATAATAGTACAGATATATCGATACACTCCGGTGTTACAAAATTTTATACTTTTGTTTAAGTTGTTTTATACCATATAACATTTCTCTCTATATATAAATGCACATTTCCCCAAGTGTTTTTAATCCTGTATGTGGATATTTGGTTTTCATAATTTTATTTGTCAATTTATGGTGCTTCACAATAGCCAATGTAGATTTGAACTTATATCTATGCCGATAAGATTTTTAAAATTATAAAATACTTGATTTACTCAAATTATAAATATATTCTAAAAGTTAATAACTTTTTCGTGTAAGTTACCAATTTTTTATATATGATATATCAAATTAATCATCACGAATTTCAATTTGACATTCATAGTGCAGATATAAATAAATAAATATATTTACCTTTATAATAAACGTTAATTATCTCCAATATTGATTTTTTTTTCCCGAAACGATAGATAATTTTATAAATCAAAATGCACAAATGTGCGAAAACACAGCATCCAACGGCTGAATACACAACAGCCAACAACTAAAAAGATGGGAGGACAGGTCAGAAGCCCGCCTAGAATCCCGACTAGCAACGCTAGAAGAAAAAACACACTCACAACTAAACTAACCAACAACACAAACAACTAGAACAACTACAAGTACCCCAACAGCGTAATACCCGAGTGTCGGACCCCAACGGAGTAATAAGTTTGACACTCGGGCTCACAGGAGCCAACGGCCCAAACCAAAAATACAAACATAGATACACAGGCTAAGTGCCCACACCAAAAAAACCAACCTACCACACAAATCAAACATAGAAACAAACAAGAAGGAAACTAAAGCCCTTCCACTTCGGCAAATCCAAACCCAACTTGCAGTCACAAAACCAACCATGGAAGTCCCTCAGCCCGAGAAATTCGACCCCTCCACTGCCAATCTGCCTAGCTGAGCCTAATCTCGAGCATCAAAATACACCCACAGCCGATTCTCCCCATAGCCAGAAAACATAAAGAAAACTCCCAACCACCGCAATACCGGGCCGACTAACACCACTAGCGGACACAGTATTAACGGCGAGCGCCCCGGAACCCAACACCAGAGAATCGGGGAAAGTGGAGCATTCCCAATGTCTCAACCCCGGCCACACCAGCCCGGACTCGCAAGTCGCCGAAGCCGCAGGAGAATCCGTCCACTGAACCGGCCCTATCCCACCCGAAAGAGCCAGGAGAGACAGTCCAATAAAACCGCACCCAGCTCCACCAAGAAAACCAGCGAAGCCTAAGACTCCAGCCCGAAGCCAGTAACTCCGGCCCGAAGTCGGAACTCCAGCCCAAAGCCACTGAACTGAATCCATTCTCGGCCCACTGAGTCGCACCCAAGAAACACCGCACAGAGGAGGATGTCGATTAGCCACGCCAAGCCGAACCGAGGAGGAATAAGCACGAAACGGACCCACCAGAGCAACCCCTGCCACTCCAACCCAAGACCGCAATCTGACGGAGCCAAACCTGACCCCAACCGACAGCACCACAACCCACCAAACCCCACCACAGCGCCTAAGTGTCCTCCGATCGTGGACCAGCTCGAATCAGCCGAGGAAGGAAAATCCGAGAGCGGTCGACCGAAGCACACCGGAGAACATGGTAAGGGGAGGCACGACACAGGAGAGGGGTCGGGTGGCTAGGAGACGACTACCAGCGAGGTAGGAAGCCGAAGGGAAGGCACTGAATCGAAACAAATTTGTGCCGGCGAGAGAGAGAGATTGGGGATTAGGGTTAGAGAGAGAGATTTTTTTTTTTTTCCATTTTAATAGTTAAAATATATAATATATACTCCCTCCTATTTTTATTTCTCCAATATTGATTGAAAACTAATATAACTATTTATCTATTAAATAATTTTATCTATTAAGTCCACTCTACAATCAATTTGAAAATTATATAATATAGAAGCGTAAATGTTCAACTGAAGGACTGACCTTGTAAATATATATATTTATCTTTAACAAGTATTGAATTTAAATAAATACCTTCACTTTGTTTACAATTTAAACATAAATTATTTAAGTAGTACACATGTATAATACAAGTGTCTCACTTAATTTTAGTTTAAAAACATACTAGTACGACACCCGTGTACTATACGGGTTGTTTGGAAAAAAAAATATAAAGCATAGAATATAAGAAAAAACATATGTTGTTGTATAACTATTTCAACTCTTTAAAATATATTAGGAAGATCATATAATATTCTAAAACTATTTCAATGCATGTTTATATATATTCTAAAAAGATTTAAATAATTTATTTAATGGTTGGATTGAAAATATATAATATGCAAGTGGCTATATATGTGTCCAACTAATTTTTGTAAATTATAGTATTTTTTTTAATGTAAACTATATAAAAAAAATTATTGTTTACATTAATTACACAAATAAAATAATATATAAAGCAAAATTTTTTATTTTGGTATTTCGTGAATTACGTCTAAATTTTTTATTATAATATTAAGCAAAAAAATATTATTTATTTTTATTTTGGTATTTCGTGAATTACATCTAAATTTTTTGTTATAATATTAAGCAAAAACATCCTATTTACAAAGAATCCTATTTATTTTGGAGTTGTAATAAGAATCCTATTTATTTTAGAGTTGGAGGGAATCGGATTAAGCAAAAATCCTATTTATTAAGTATTTTATTTTAAACAATTAGGGAATGTATTCGAACCAAAAGCCGAAACATGTAATGTTGCCAAGTAAGCTTCCGAAGCATGCGAGGCAGCCATTTTTTATTTTGGTATTTTGTGAATTACGTCTAAATTTTTTATTATAATATTAAGCAAAAAAAATCCTATTTATACGCCATATAAGATTTACATGCATATAAGAAGAGTTGGAGGGGATCGTATTAAGCAAAAATTCTATTTATTAAGTATTTTATTTTAAACAATTAGGGAATTGTATCCGAACAAAAAACCGAAGCATGTAATGTTGCCAAGTAAACTTCCGAAGCGTGCGAAACAACCATATCCGAACAAAAACCGAAGCATGTAATGTTGCCAAGTAAACTTCCGAAGCGTGCGAAACAACCATATCCGAACCAAAAGCTGAAGAATTTCCGAAGCGTACTCAGCACGTTTTGAAACTATATTAAGAGGGAATATTTCTGTTGAAAAAGCATAACAACGTTTCAACATAAATTACTTACGTAACACACATGTAATATACAAGTGCTTTACTGAATTAATTTTAGTTTCAAAACATATATTTCTATTGAAAAAGTATAACTGTTTAATCATAAATCTTCCTTACCCTTGAAAATATTCTTGGATATTCTCGTGGCCTCGAATGAGGATAGAAAATCAAACAGTTGATTTAGAAAACAAATTTGCACACAACATATGAATTTCTGTAATCATAAGAGTAGCACAAACAACATAGCATGACCTTCAAACTCCTACACCAGTCAAACAGGACAGTATAGTATGGTAAAGTACGGATACAACTCAAACAACATAAACATCCAAAGCCTTAAAGAAAAGCAATCTGAGACACATGCAGATTAACGGTACTGATATATGGTTAGACGCTGTAAAAGATTAGTAGGCGCCATTAATATAGCTTTTACTTTATTTAACCTAACTATAGTTTGTCTTCCAACTTTGCTCGGCTGCTCTCTCCTATCAGTTACCATCCTCATCACGAGACTGACCATCATGTGCTGTTGGGTTGTTATCCTCTAGTTTAGACACAGCCTCTGGGCCGTACAACCTAACTAGCTCTTCCTGTTTACAGCACCCAAAACAATAAAAAATAAAAAATGAAATTATTTCATCAGATCACTTGCATGTTACATAAGATACAAATTATATGTTTAAGGAAAAAAGGCAACCTTAATGGTGATATTTTCGGAGGTGAGTTTCTCGCATTCCTCAGAAAGCCTACGCAGCTCATCTCTGAGAGTATGATTCTCGTTATTCAACACCTCCACTCTGTGCTGTAGCTCTTCACACTCAGCCTGTGCAGAGATTTGGTGAAATTTATCAGACAAATATGATAACTAAATTCTCCAGAGTTATTTATAAAATGACCAAACAATTTAGTTCTAGTGATACTTTGTTTCCAATGATTCATGTCGAAGCTTACAGTCGCCAGCTTTCAAAATGAATGAAACTGTTAGAGATATTACATCAGACTTCATTCAAAACTCGAAATAGAACCCAATGATCACAAATACTCCACCCACACAGCCCAGCACATTTTTAACGTGGAAGGGCATAAGCTCAAAAAATAGGTAAATCAGCTTTATTATGCTGCTATATGTACCAGATTGAAATTGGAAGGATTAAACAAAAAAAGAAAGAGAGAAAGAACAGAGAAAAAACATCAACAGAAATAAAGTAAGGCCATAGAGAATATTGGAGTGCATATAAAGTTTCTATCGACACAAATAAGGTATAGTTTGGTCACGAGCAGTATAATGAGTCTAATTAGATAGGCAAATACACTATTCAAAGAAATATGTCGGTATCTAAAATTTTCCCCCTATCTTCAGCGTCAAATCCTGAGAATTCCAATCGTTATTCACATAATTTGTTTTGATATTTATCTTAGATGATAAATAAATTCAATTATAACAAAGGTTATAGTTTCTTAATTGAATATAAATGCAGCACTTTGTATAGAAAAGAACCAGCAAGTACTTGATGCTTTCTCACCATCCCAGATGACATGGCAATCACGAGGCGTGAATAAGAGAGTACAGCAAAACTTCAAAAGCAAGTAAACATGCTAGCAATATACAAATACATTTTCCCATAAAAGAGAACTAAAAAAAAAAAAAAATCTTCCCAGAAAGACACACATGCCTGATCACCATCAAATTCCAGAAAAGTCTCCATTGTTGCTGGTGAGCAACAATCGGTGAAAACCAAATTAAATGACCGAACCGAAACAAATAGTATCATTCAGTTCGGTTTTTTATGTTACACGGTTTGGCTCTGTTCAGATTCTAAAAATATTCGGTTTATTTGGTTTGGTTCCGTTCTGTAAACTAAAATTCGGATTAACCGAACGGAACCAAAAATTTAAATAATTAATAAATTAAAAGACAGGATTAAGTGACTTTATTTAATGAACAGGCCCAATATGCAATGTGTTTACAATCTTAAAGAAATAAGTTTACAAACTTACACAGGCCAATTAAAATGCCTAACCCAAAACCCCAATTCACATGCATTGGTTTTAAATTATATAAATAATAGCTATGGAATTTATAGTTAAAACCTGATGCTTTTTATTATAAATTTTAACTAAGTCTCTATTAAGTCAAATTAGATTTTCACGTCTCAGCTATCAAAACCTAATTACACTCTCTCAGTCCCAAAATTTTCCCAATTCACATGCCGCATCGCAGCCCCAAAATTTTGAGATTTTTATTTTCCATTTTCAGATTCCAAATCGAGATTAGATTTCTCATTTCAAATTCCACTTTCAACTCTCAAGTCTCAAGTCTCAAGATCATCTAAAGATCAGATTTCTAATTTTTTCTTTCTCTAATCTCTTGCCCTCTTTTGCAGCCTCGCTTAGATTTAAACCTAAATCGATTAATCTGTCTTGTGAAAAGGTTCGAGTTATTATATTTAGTCTATTTTGTTCATTTTTTTTTCAGCTATTATGTCGTTGAATGCTGATAAGGTTTGTTTCTCTTATTTACCAGATGATTCCAAGGATGGAACCATCAGATGAGTATATATGGCAAGCAACTGTGAAGCCTCAAATGCCAATATCTAACCTGAGGTTGCTGATGGACCTTCAAACAAAAGTGATCCTCAAAAAGGAACAGAAAGGAAACACATGAAACCACGATAGTTTGGTCATACTTTACACAGAATGAGGATGAGAACGAGAACAGTAATTTAATTTCAGCTAAGTGAGTGAAAAGATTTATTGTTGTCATTCCAAAGGAAATGCTTCAACAGTATAACAACACATGGATGCATGTAAAGAGAACTCAGAGTCTGAACCTGGACAAACCATGTTACATTTGTAAACATGTAATCAAGATACTGGTGGTCGATTGAGTACACTTACTACTTTGAAATTCGATCGAGATGAAACTCGAAAAGCTATTGCATACATGGTCATTGTTGATGAATTACCATTCAAGTTTGTAGAAGGGGATGGATTCCGCTGAGTCATGTCGAAAGCTTGTCCTAGGTTTAAAATTTCATCAAGATGGACTTTGTCGAGGTATTGTTTTCAATTATATGCTGATGAGAGGATGAAGTTGAAGTCTTCTATGAAAAATAATTGCCAAAGAGTCAGTTGTCATACTTTGACTTCAGTTAGAAAAGTAACTACATGTGCATCACAGCTCACTTCATCCTGGAACTTTGAATTTTGTGCTTGTTACTAGCCACAAAGGCGAATACATTTGGAAGGTGATAGAACTAGTGTTCTTGACTGGGTATTAAAGAATAGTTTTACGATCACCGTAGATAATGCAAGTTCAAACAATGTAGCTATTGCTTCTTAAAAAAGAGTAAAAAGAGAGTGTTGAACTGGGGGTGGTAGTGAGGCAAATTGTAAATTTCTTCATATGAGGTGTATTGTACATATAATCAATTTGGTTGTTACCAAAGGCCTAAAAGATATGAAACCTTGTGAAGCGAGAGAGAGAGAAGCAGTAAGGTGTATTACAAATTCACCCACTAGACTTAAGAAGTTCAAAAATCGTGTTGATTGGGAAGGTATCGAGAGAACAAGCTTTTTAAGTCTAGATGTAGCAACAAGGTGGAATTTTACATATTTGATGTTAAAAACGATTGTGCAGTTTGAAAAGGCATTTGAGAGATTTGAAGAGCAAGAACCATATCTTGCAATTGATTTAGCTAAACATGGGGTTTCAAAGTCTTTTGATTGGGCATGTGAAGAAATTTTCAAATTTAATAAAGCATTTTTATGAGAATACGTTTCATTATATGTTATGAGATACGTTTTGTGTTGCATTTTGAATGAATGGAAAGGGAGTGATAATTATGAAATCAAAGACTTGGGCACACATCAATTAAAACAAAATTTGATAAATATAGGGGAGATTAAGAAAGCATGAATAAAATAATCTTTTGAGCCACTGGATTTGATCATCGCGATAAACTTGAGTACATGGAGTACTCTTTTAGCGAGATGTACGGGGCCGAACAAGGTGTTGGATTGTTTAAAATGTTAAAAAGGGACTCTTTGAGTTGTTTAGAGAATATGAAAATAAATATCTGCCAAATGTTGAAAATGATAATCGAGTGAGCTCTAGTTCTATTTCTCTTCTAGAAGATTGATGATTCTAATACTGAAAAAGTTAAGAAGCCAATGCCTGTCTTGGAAGCTAGATTTAAGAAGCAGAAATTGGAGATTGGAAGTGGCAGAACTCAAAAAAGAAATTGAACTACAAGTTACTTGGATGAGGAGGCCATAGAGAATTCCGAGGATCTTGATGTGTTGAAGTGGTGGAAAGTTAATTCAGGAAAGAAGATTTCCCTTTCGATTGACACGTGATATTTAAGGAGTCCCATTCTCAACCGTGAATCAGCATTTAGTACCAGTGGAAGGGTTCTTAATGTGTTTAAGAGCTCACTTACTCCAAATATTGTTGAAGCGTTGATATGTGCACAAGATTGACTTCGAGGATCAAATGAGGAAAACTTTGAAAAAGGCAATTTAATTCAGTTTATTTATTTATTTTGAATTCTAACCTTCAATATCGTAATAAACTTCTTGCATTTTATTTTATTTTGTAGAGTCATAGATTTTCAACCTGGACTGGACCGGCGGGTCAACCCGGGACCCGCTTGACCCGGCTCCGGTTCCGGTCCTGGTGGGCTAGTCGGACCGGGCAACAAAGGACCCGGTCAAAACCCGGTCGACCCGGGGCATTGACCCGCCAGGATGACCCGGCCCCTATATATCTTTTTTTATTTTATAAAATATTATTTGTTTTTAAAAAATAAAATTATGTATATATATGGCAAATATTTGTCATGAAATACATATTATTAAACTTACAAATTTTATAAACAAAACATTTAATTATGTTACTTTTATGTATATTTATACGACCAAATCATAGTTTTTAAACCCGGCCTGGAAATCAACCCAGATAGGTCTCCAGGTCACCGGTTCAACCGCCGGGTCACCGGGTCTATTGCTGAACCGGATAATTAATTTTACAATTTTTAAAATTATATATAAGTATTTTTGACATGTAAATATACATAAAAGTAACAAAAATAATTGACAATTATTTTTGTTACTTTTATGTATATTTACATAGTTTTTATTTTTTATATAAAAAATTATAGAGATCGGGTCAACCGGGTCAATGCTGGGTTGGCCGGTTTTGACCGGGTTTGACCGGGTCCATTGTTATCCGGTCCAAATAGCCCACCCAGACCGGTTTCAGCTCGTCCCCGGTCGACCCGCCGGGCCGGGCCGGTCCGGGTAAAAAACAATGGACAAAATACTCTATATATAATTTTAAAAATTTTAAAATTAATTATCTGGTTTAGCAATTGACCCGGAGACCTGCCCGAGTCGATTCCCCGGCTGGGTTTAAAAACTATGTTTAGAGTTACCAAATGTGGTTATCGGGCTAGCATTATCAAACACGAGCGACTAAGATCGATGTTATGCTGCTGCTATGCCATAGCTTACCTGCTACTGCTTTGTTGGTTATATGGGATGTTGTTAGCTCCTGCTACTATTATTTTATTTTATTTTTTTTATTTTTATTTTTTTTTGAGTGGATGAATAATGAATTAAAATTAATGTGGTGTGTGAGGATGATTGATTGGTATTACTTAATTATATTGATAAATATTGAGGAGGGTTGATTGAGTTAGATTTTGAGTTAAAAAAATTATTTTGACCAGATAATTTATAAACAATCAGGGCCTCAGCTACTTTATGCTTATGTCATTCTATGGACCTATGGGCTGTGCCTGTGCTGTGATGGTGATTGATGAATGATGTTTTGGAATGTATGGGTACTACTACTTTGGTGATTAGTCTCATTTGTTTTGCACGTTAATTGAATTTTATACTAATTTTGTTATTTGCTAACATTTGCAGAATTAGATTGGCTTAATAGCTTAATACAATGGTCCAATCGATTTGCAAAACCGAACCGATAATTTCGATTCGGTGGTAGTTCGGTTTTAAACGTTTATTCAGTTTGGTTCGGTTTGCTACTTTATTACAATTCCGGTATTTGGTTTTTCGGTTCGGTTTTTAGGCCAAACCGACCGATGCTGCCCACTAGCCGTTGTGAAACATCTCAAACAACAAAATTCCGATAGCCAAGCAAAAGACTCTTAAACCTAAATCAGTTTACAGAAGCAATAACAAAACCACACATTTGTTCTGCTTACACCTCAAACTGATATTCCCACAACGCAGCAACCAAGATGAGACTTTATAAGAGAAATAGCATGAGGAACAAGCAACACGTGACACATATATCATTTGCTTGAAGTTGAATCAGAGGAAAGCAAAACAATCTTACCCACATTATTTCATTTGATGTAACATTGTACCTTTATCACAGTACTAAATTACGGAACGCACTCAACTGAAAAAGTATCAAGAGAACCTAAAGCAAGTAAATAATAGTATACCTGCTTGCGTAATCTTGACCTTCGAGCAGACTCCCGATTGGATTGCTTTCTCTTCTGCCTTTTTAATTCACGTTCATCCTGCAAATCCAATGTCCAATTAGTTCCAACTTGAGTGCCAAAGAATTTATCAGACTTTCATCTAATTTTCTATTACTTCTAAGAAGATATATTTGTTAGAAAGAAGTGATTACTAGTTTGACAACCATTTAAATTTCCACTTAATAGGTCTTATTGAGAGTGAAACAGCTTCCTAAAAATTGTATTTACATGAAATTTAGTCTAGCAAGCGTAATAGAAAGAATATCTACAAGGCAAAGTAGGCAAACATTAAAGATCGTGAATCGACCATATTCAATGCATTTATATGGATAAGCAATTAAGAAGATCCACCCCAATGACACCAAAAATCTGTTTAATGAAACAAAATCTTTTTCATAATCATGCCTTCAGCTTTTCTATCTAGATCAAGTGCAAGTCAGAGCTAAACCATATGTAGCCCTATTACCATAAAACTATCAGTGAATCCAATTCAAAAATCTTCTGAAACTTTCAAGAAACGGAAGAAATGTTTCTTTAATATGATCTAAAAAAATTTTACACCAATTGGGCAACTCACATAGGCAGTTCCTAGTGCCCAGTACCTAGCCGACTTCCATATAGAGCCACTTTTTATTATTCTTAATTAATTCTTAAAATAGAAAATTGGTCATTCCGCATAAGAAAAGACAGCGGAATTTCATGATCCACCAACATACCCCAAAAGCAACAAAACCGTCGAAAAATGAATGACAACATCCAAATCCGGAATTTCATCATCCACCAACATACCCCAAAAGCAATAAAACCGTCGAAAAATGAATGACAACATCCAAATCCAATCAAGTAAGATCATCATAGAAAATTATGAGCAGGTAAATAAATTGAAAAAAACGATGACCACAACAAACAAGTCGACCAAAAAAATGGTACTTATCCACTGATTATTCACCATGCCAGATGGAGCCACATGTGGAGGCACATTTTGATTTGGGCGCATTGGCATAGAACCAGAGCCAGCAGGAGATGCATTCCACAAATCCATTCCTATATTCAGATTAGTTGCAGGCACAGATGCTACCGGATTTCCGGCTGCCGATGGCTGCAAACTAGATTGGACGGAATGGTTCTGCGCGTTTGCTCCTGATATTTCAAAAAACCAAATCTCGTCACTTGTGCCAAAATGAGGAATGAAAATGGCCTTTAATAATATTTACCGTCCACGAGCATCTGGTCAAAGCTTCCCTTTTTGGTCTTTGAGAAATCCTGGAAACGCAAAATTAGATTTTCTTTCAGTAAATAAAATTTTCATTTTAAAAAATCTCCGCAAGGTGTCAAAAAGGAGCTTGAGTAATTTTATTGCAATCTTGACACAGGAATAGGATATAATATACTAGTAATGGAGTTATAGAAAAAAAAAAGAAAAAAAAAAGAATAAAGACCTGATTATTATCATCACTTGCGTCTGATGAACCTTCGCTCCCACTTTCACCACTGTAAGCAGGTAATGAAATTCAATACTTAAAAAGGCACCAATGATTATAATAGTTCAAAGATAAAAATATAAGCAAATGGAATTAAATAAGTCTCGAACCACCTTTGAGTTCCAACATCATTTCCAGAGCCAGAAGTTGCTTTTCCACCATCTCCGGTTTTTAAACCAATTGAGCCATTATTCCCTGAAGCCCCTTTGGTTTTTTTGCTTGAAGGACGGTCCTTCCCATCGTTGGCTTTTCCATCCAATTCTGCAGTTCCATGTACGTTACCTGGATTCTGCAAAAGAGAACCAAAGAACAATTATGTACAGATATTTTTTTCATTCTAGCACTAAACTATTACCAAAAAAAAACAAAAGGAAAAATGGTAAAACCACTGACTTAGAAATACAAAAATGATTAGAATCGATGAAATTCTGTTAATAAGTAAATTTTATAAACTATATGGCAAAATTTTTTGACATCCTAATTACCATAACCATGTTAGGATGAGCATAAACTCCTCCAGGAGGATACATAGCCGGATACACGGGTGTTCCATAAGGTGGCATGAGAGGATGCTGAAATGTAACGAGCATGTCCAGTGAGAGAGCATAAAGTACTCTATATTATTTAGAATAATAATACAACATTCAATATTTCCGAATAATCACCTGCCCTCCCCACAAGAAGGGATGAGGAGTTGGAGAGCCAACAGGTGGAGCAAAGAAAGGTGGAGTTGCTCCAGGACCATAAAAGGCCTGCCAAAGAGCATGTGCCTCAGATAAATATGCAATATGCAATAATTCTTTAGGGAAGCTGACCACTATACGTTACATAACAAGTGAAAGATAGTAAAGCAATAGAACCTGCATAGAGCTCGACCAATCAGGATAGGCAGGTGTAGTAGGTGTACTTGATGCTTCCTGGTAAAACAATTATTAAAAGAAAAAAGACAGAGAGCTCAATTAAATCTGAGAACAAATTGCTAGGAATGGTTGAAACAGTTTAATGTATGAAAAATGACGAAGATAATACGGAATATAAGGATTACCTGCACTGAGGATGCAGGTTTCGAAGATTTTGTAGGTGTGCCATCTTCTCCTGACCCCATCAGAGCAAAAATGTGCAGACTCAATAGTCTACCTTAATGGCTTGTTCTGATTATGAGGATGCACTGTTTTGGTTGCTAAATAAAAGCAATCATTTGTCAACGTTCTGTGATGGCAGAAAACTATTAGAATCATTTTTTGTCCGAGGGACAATATAAGATTTTGACAAAAATTGCCACGCCACAGCAGCCATTTTATAGCATTGCTAGTTGTTATAATAAAAGCGTTAGGTAAATTAGTTAATAAGTCAGCTGAAATGAAAATTTTGATGGGCATTTTTGAAAAGCTACCTAAAGCAACTTATGAGATAAGTCCCAACTTTCAAGTTGATCCTACCAGACCAAACTTATTTGAATACAAGATGCTTATAAGCTAATAAGTTCAAAGTTAGCGTATAGTGCATTACCAAACACACCCGTAAAGATGCTTAAAAAAAGGATAATTTCTGGGCAAATCAATTATTAATATAGGAACAACAATTTTCCCTATACCGATCTAAAACTTTCATGCTTTGGCCATTAATTGTTCCCTCTATCATGCAAAGCAAATGATATATTTGAACTGTGAACTTAATTACTCCAAATTTCCATCAAGCTACTTGCCATAATTACCAATACATTTGTTGATGAAGATATCAGACAATCATCAGCTCGTGATGATTTCTTTTGTTGTAAAGGCAGATTCTGTTCTCATCATTGGGGAAATCTTGGTAGCCAACTGGGCACACAGTGCATGAGTACATGTGTCTTTAACATATTATATCAAAAATGAATATGCCAGCCATCAGTTTTGAAATGAGCCAAAAGAAAGAGATATAAGAAAAGAAAAAATTCTGGGAAATTTTCTTCGAGGAAAATTTTCTTTAGCAACCTCTATTTTGCGCTTTTCGTCTTTTTAATTTTCTGGTCGTTAAATGGACGAGAGGGGACTAAAGCAAGGGGCGATGACTTGTGGAGTTAAGTGGAGGTATGCTTCGACTATGATTTCATCAATGATGTTAGTCCCTGCTCGTCTTTATTTGCAGCTAGGATGCACTGTTTGTGTAAGCAAAAATGCTTCCCGACACAAACGGACACTTTTAGGATAGAAGAAGATATTGAACAACTCAAAGTATTGATTATTCAGTTTTTGCTGTGTTTACAAATACAAAACTACATCCCTATTTATAAGAACTAAAAACAACTACCTAGTGACTTTCCTAGAAATTACTTAAGCTGAAAAATCAGCCCATAATGGCTGCTATGAAGGTGCTGTGCAGCTGCAAGGAATTTGCATTGCTATTGCAATGAAGCTGCAAGGAAACAGCAGATTATATATTTCTTACAATTCTTCCCCTAATCATGCTGCTCTTCCTTGTTTCCTATCATTCCAATCTTGGTCCTCAGCTCCATGAACCGAAGACGGCCGAGTGGCTTGGTAAGGATGTCTGCGAGCTGCCGTCCGGATTCGACAAACTCCAAAACAATATGTCCTTCATCGACACAATCCCTGATGAAGTGAAAACGGGTATCGATGTGCTTGCTCCGGTCATGGAGGACTGGATTTTTTGCAAGGGCAATGGCGGGCTGGTTGTCCACCATCAGAGCTGGTGGACGAGCTTCCTCGCCGGTCAGCTCGCCCAGCAACCTACGCAGCCAGACCGCCTGACATGCCGCTGTGGCTGCCGCCACGTACTCCGCCTCGCACGTAGACAACGCCACGATCTTCTGTTTCAACGACTGCCATGAGATTGGGGCTGATCCAAGGAAGACGAGCACACCGGAGGTGCTCTTCCGCCCATCAATGTCGCCTGCCATGTCTGCATCGCTGAAAACCGTGAGCCGCAGCCCACTTCCACCGCCGGTCTTGGGAAAGATGATGCCCTGGTCCACCGTCCCCTTGACATAGCGCAACAGCCGCTTTACCGCAGCCCAATGATCCTCTCGGGGGTCCTCCATGAAACGACTGACATAGCCCACGGCGAATGCAATATCTGGCCTCGTGTGGACTAGATAGCGTAGCCCGCCGACGATACTCCGGTAGAGTGTTGCATCCACCTTTTCCGCGGTGCTGGCTTTCGTCAGTTTCAGCCGCTCCTCCATTGGAGTCGCGCATGACTTGCAGTCAGCCATGCCGCTCCGCTCCAACAGCTTCCCCGCATACGCACGCTGGCAGAGAGTGATGGAGTCTCTCCCCTGCTTCACCTCGATGCCGAGGTAGTAGGAGAGCTGCCCGAGATCGCTCATGCGGAAACGAGCTGCCATCTCGTGCTTGAAACCGTTGATGTCCCCTTCTCGTGCCCCGGTGATGATCAAGTCATCTACATACACGCCGACGACGAGCTCCTCCTTCCCCCGTCGTCGCGTGTAGAGCGCGTGCTCAGTCTCGCAGCGCGTGAACCCAAGCGTACCCAGAGTGGCATCGAGCTTGGCGTTCCACGCTCGCGGGGCTTGTCGCAACCCATAGAGTGCCTTCCGCAGCCGTAGCACCTTGTGCTCCTTTCCCTTGACGACGAAGCCCGGGGCTTGCTTGACGAAAACAGTCTCCGCTAGCTCTCCATTTAGGAAGGCCGATTTCACGTCCAGGTGATGAATGCGCCAGTCCTTTGCTGCCGCCATGGCTAGCAGTAGGCGAACTGACTCCATGCGCGCCACTGGTGCAAAAACTTCCTCAAAGTCGATGCCCTCTCGCTGGACGAAACCGCGAGCAACGAGGCGCGCCTTGTGCTTGACTATGGCGCCACACTCGTCCCGCTTGACTTTGTAGACCCATTTGAGCCCGATTGGATGACAGCCTGGAGGTGGATCGACGAGCTCCCACGTCTCATTTTCCTCGATCGCCTTCATCTCCTCTAGCATAGCTCGTCTCCAATTGACATCTCCCTCGGCCTGCGCGAAAGTCGATGGCTCCTCTGCGCTGACGAGGAGCAGCTCCTGATCATCGAGTAATCGGCTCGCTAAGCCTGGTACCGCCGAGTTGCCAACAAGGTTGTCCATCCTGCGAAACCTCACCCCCTCGCCGTCGTGGAAGGCATCCACATACTCGTCGATGTCGCTTGGAGGAGAGGCGAACTCAACTGTCGTCGGAGATGTCCCCTGTCCTGCCGCAGTAGGGGAATGTGGTGAGGGTGTGTGTGCAGCCACTGGTGGAGATTCTTCGCCCGTGCCCGTCATGGCAGGACTTTGCGGCTCATCCGACGCCGCCACAGCTGTTGGACTTGGCGCGTCCGCAGCTGGCTCCTCTACTCCCACATCTCCTCCTCCGTGGATCACCAAATGCTCGATGACGAACGTACCGCCAACGCCACGGGCTTCCCCCGTGCCAGGATTCTCCCAATCCCAGGCCGCCATTTCGTCGAACACCACATCCCGCGAAACCACCACCTTGCCTCCACGTGGATCGTAGAGCCGATAGGCCTTGCTCCCCTCCTCGTAGCCTAGGAACACCATCGGTGTGCTCCTATCCTCAAGCTTGGACATGAAGGGCTTCGTCTTCTTCACATGGCCAATGCACCCAAACGTCCTTAGAAACGAGACGTCGGGCTGCCTACCATGCCAAGCTTCGAATGGCGTCATGCCCTTCAGGGCCTTTGTGGGCGCACGGTTGAGGATGAACACTGCCGTGCTCACAGCCTCTCCCCAGAACTCCGCTGGCATGCCCTTTGCCTTCATCATGCTTCGGGCCATGCCCACCACGGTCTGATTCCGCCGCTCCACTACACCGTTTTGCTGCGGTGAGTACGGCGCAGTGTGATGGCGCACCACCCCCTGGTTTGCACAGTACGCAGCGAATTCCACCGATGTGAACTCGCCACCGCGATCCGTCCTCAGCACGCGCAGCCGTTTCCCAGACTCTACCTCGGCTCGCGCCTGGAACCGCTTGATTGCCTCTGCTGCCTGATCCTTACTCGTCAGGAGCTGCAGCCACATGAAACGGCTACAGTCATCCACGAGCAGCAGGAAGTAGCGCCGTCCGCCATGCGTAGCCGGTGTGATCGGCCCGCAGAGGTCGCCGTGGACGAGCTCTAGGACGTCCGCCGCACGATACTTGGCCGCCTTTGGGAAGGGCAGCCGCTTCTGCTTCCCTGCCAGGCAGCTGTCGCACAGCTCGCCTGCGTGCTCGATGTGCGGGAGCCCGCGCACCATCTTCCTCAGCCGGCCGAGTGCGTCGAAGTTCAAATGGCCGAAACGAGCATGCCATAGCCATGGCTCTTCGGTGTGTCGTACTGCCAAGCACACTGGCTGCTCCACCTTCAAGTCGAGGAGGTAGAGGCGGTTCCGGGAACGCTGGACCTTGGCCAACAGCCGCTGGTCTCGGTCCCTGAGCTTTAGCACGCCGCCTTTGACAAGCACCTCACAGCCGTGCTCGTCCAACTGCCCGATGCTGACGATGCTTGAACGCAACTGCGGGATATAGTACACATCCGTCAATGCGCGGTGCTCGCCGTTCTGGCACCGGAAGATGACGTTGCCGCGACCTCGAATCTCCACCTTTGAGCCGTCTCCGAACTTCACCGTCCCCGTCACGCCGTCATCAAGCTCGGAGAAGGCCTCCTTGGAGCCGGTCATGTGGTTGCTGGCGCCGGAGTCTAGGTACCACCTCTGCTCCATGCCACCGCCCATTCGTCCAAGGTGGACTTGGGCACTTGACTCGTCGAGGTGAACGACCTGTAGTGCCTTCCCCTGCTCTGCAACCGCCGCCTTGACTTCCTCTAACTCTGGCTCAACGTCGTGCAACTTGCAGGTCGTTGCCATTAGAAGAGTTGGCTCCTCGTCGTCTACCTGCGCGAGGTGTGCCTCCCTCTTCTCCTTCTTGGGATTCTTGCAATCCCGGGCCCAGTGTCCTGTCTTCCCGCAGCGTCGACAAGTGTCCTTGTCGATCGGACGCACGTTGTCGCCGTCCTTCTTCTTCTGCGGGGCCTTGCTACGACGCTTGCCGTAGCCGCCACGGCTGGAGGAGCCTTCCCCGGGCCGCCTCTCGCGCATACGAGCTGCCCATTCTTCCTCGGTCAGCAGTAACTTGCCGCTGGTAGTTATCGTCGCCGTCTCCACACGGTCATCGACCGCCCGCAAGCGCCCAGTCACATCCTCAATCGTGAGGGTGGACATGTCGATCAACGTCTCGATGGAGAGCGCGATCTGGGCGTACTTAGGTGGCACGACACGCAAGTATTTCGCGACCGCCTCCTCGTCGGTGATGGTGACGCCGTGCGCCGCCAGTTGACTGACGAGCGACTGCAGACGGAGCGAGAAATCCTCCACTGCCTCGCCGTCGCGGAACACCAGCGCCTCATACTCCCGCCGCAGCTGCTGCGCCTTCGCCTTCTTTGCGCGATCAGACCCGATGCGCATGGCCTTGAGGGCGTCCCAAGCAGCCTTTGCGGAGTCCTTTACGCCCAGCGACTCCACGTACTCGTGAGGCACAGCGGATAGAATCGCTTCCATCGCTGCACAGTCCTCTTCTTCATCCTCGGTGCCTTCTTCAATGGCCCGCCATAGCTTACGCGCACGCAACTTGACCTTCATCAGCACCGCCCACTCGCCATAGTTTGTGCGTGTGAGGACCGGCCAGTTGGCCCCGCCAACGTCCCGTACGGTCCTGTGGATGATGACCTCCTGGCGCGGTGAAGCGTGTGCACCGCTCCCTTGCACCATCGACGCAGCATCTTGGCTTGCCATGGCTCTGATACCACTTGTTAGTCCCTGCTCGTCTTTATTTGCAGCTAGGATGCACTGTTCGTGTAAGCAAAAATGCTTCCCGACACAAACGGACACTTTTAGGATAGAAGAAGATATTGAACAACTCAAAGTATTGATTATTCAGTTTTTGCTGTGTTTACAAATACAAAACTACATCCCTATTTATAAGAACTAAAAACAACTACCTAGTGACTTTCCTAGAAATTACTTAAGCTGAAAAATCAGCCCATAATGGCTGCTATGAAGGTGCTGTGCAGCTGCAAGGAATTTGCATTGCTATTGCAATGAAGCTGCAAGGAAACAGCAGATTATATATTTCTTACAAATGAAAGATGCAAGAA